TAAAAAATGTTTGCAGAGCTGATGAGTGGAAGCTTAGTGAGATGCCAGATGAGTAGGCGCGATAGCAGACAGACAGCGTCTGACGGCGGCAAACTAAATGCTAAGGAGAGGCACCAAAAGGATATACCAGCTCAGCGGACAAATGAGTTGATGAAATGAATGAGAAATGAGAAAAGTAAATAACTGCAAAATTAATTAAGGAAGGTCCAATCAAGGGCGGATATACTTTATTATTTTTTACGATAATTGAAATTATTTAAATAGCACTGAATTTTGGAAAGAGAGTTTTTACGATACTGGATAATTTAAATTTAAAAAATTATTTATTTTTTTATTTTTATATCGACTCTTATATTGATTCTTCTACTTATATTTATCTTTAACTCTATTTTTATCTTTATATCTATCGCTATGTCTATTTCTACCTGGATCATTATTAATCTCAATATCAATATCAGTATCAGTATCAGTATCATTATCAATATCAATATCAATATCAATATCAATATCAATATCAATATCAATATCAATATCCATATCAATATCAATATCAATATCAATAATCAATATCATTGAAGTATCAGTATCAGTGAGAATCATTATCAATGAGTCAATATACAAATATCATAATAACCATCAATATGCAAAATCAAATATCAGCCATATTCATATCAATATCAATATCAATATCAATATCAATATCAATATCAATATCAATATCAGTATCAGTATCAGTATCATTATCAATATCAATATCAATATCAATATCAATATCAATATCAATATCCATATCAATATCAATATCAATATCAATATCAATATCAAAATTAATATCAATATCAATATCAATATCAATATCAATATCAATATCAATATCAATATCAATATCAATATCAATATCTATATCAATATCCATTTTACTGCCAATATTTTTTTCTAGAATACAACAATACCCTTGACTGGCCTACTACTCCTGTTTATAATTGCCCAAGTAGTACCTACAACCCAGCACCACAGTTAAGTACGAGTATAAAAATGATGAGCGACTAACCACGACGGACAAGTCAGCACGTCAGCAGACCAAAGTACTCAGTGTTATTATTTATATTTCAAATAAACTGTAGTCTGAGGCATGAAATGTAGACATATTACATATACTGAAGATGATGGTAGCTAGTAAAAGGAAAACATATAACATCACAAAATATACACACAGTCATGTTTGTTAGCTCAAAACACATCAACCAAATTTTAAGTCTACGCTTGGTTTGCGCTACGCCAATCGCCAGCCAGTCGACCAATCAACGCTTGCTAAGTCCAGTGACTATACGCGCTGCAAATTAGTAGAGAAAATGGCAGCTTACGATACTGTACCATTGTTATATTAGATAGTGGTGGTATGAAAGCCTTAACTTTATATCTATTTGTGATGTTGTTTGCAAAAGGCAAGCGACAGTAAAAAGTATTAAAAAAAAACGGAAATAGGGCCCTTTAGCAGCATCAAATAGCAACGGAAAAGTTTCATTTAAAATAATGAAATGAATATAAAGCAGCAAGCTGTAAAGTGCTGGTTATTTTATTAAAGCGGTATACATGGCGTATACGTAACATAAAATGTTAAAAATTTTGTAAGTTTATGAATCGATGGTTATAATGTAGTAAATTTGAATTGAATAATTTATGAATAATAAGTAGCAATATTCGTTCAAAGTAAGTTTGTATGAAATAAAAGTAATAGCTTTGCTCTAAAAGTTTACCGAGAGTACGCAAAATTATCAAAAACTCAGAAAATTTGTATTACTCGCTTTTAATTTTCTTATTGTGTTCAAAATTTTTACAACCAGCATGATTAAAACATCCTAAGTTCTTATTTTTCTTTAAATAAATATTTTTGTGTGCAGACACTGAACTTGTGAAACGCTTGACATATTTCGGATATGATGCGATCTAACAGCTGTATAAATTCGAGTTTGGAAATGATAATTAATAATAATTAGAACATATAAATGAGGTCTAGAGAATATGTGTCTGTTCTTTTTATAAACCATGATGATTGTTATGAGTCGAGTTGATGTAGCCTGTATATATGTACTAGAACTTTTCCCTTAGTTTCTGTGATATCGATTTGAAATTTTGCACACGTCCGTTTCTTCTAAATAGTCTGCTCATTTGACGAAGAATCATGTATAATTTTGAGAGTATAAAATCGTAAAATGAGTAACACGGAATGTACAAAAAGCAGTATAAGCGTATTTATTAGTTTTACTTAGAAACTTAGCAACTTACTTCGAGGCATTGTAATTACCAATTCTTCTTTAAAATTACGATTAAATCCAATGTAAGAACGTATATCGCTTGCTTTCTTCACCTATTCGTTCTGGTGAAATGTATTTTTCGAAGTTTTCATAACTAAACAACTTTTCCATAGCGCAAGGCAGGTGCTGGATTTTTTGTTGCATCAATTAATTCATAAAGGAAAATTATACAAATATTAAAATGTGTTTTATTTGCTTTAACATTTCTTTCTTTATTTTTATCGCACCTACCAAGAGTTACAAATAATCCACTTTTTCTGTGTAATTCTCGATTATTAAGGTTTTCGTCCAGCATTCATTACTAAGCGAATTTTTGCGATGCGTCAATGTTTCCTTAAAAATAAATTATAACAAGAAAAAGAATATAAATTACATTGCTAAGTAGGCGATAGGTGACTTTGCGCTGCCTCCAGCTTAGACTATTTTGGAGTATTTAAAAATGCGCTGTTAATGTAACCGATACACATACAACCGCGGGTGCGTAGCTGCCAGTAGATAACACCCTTTTTCATCTCACCCCACTCGCATACTTTTAAATGCTCATTTACTCGCACGCTGCGCTCGTTTTGCGTAATTTAGAACTCCCACTGGCAGAAACGTGCCGTAAGTAATGCTTGTTAAATTAAAAAAAAACAGCAACAACAACTAATTACTGTCGTCTCGACAACAGCGATAACTGCATAAATGCAGGAAAGCTTGCGTGAATTTCCAAGAATGAAAAGAAGAAATCCAAAAAACACTAAAACCTTCAGAGACGGAAAAGTTTAAGAGAAAAACCGAAAACGAAAAAAAAACCAACAGTGTGCGGTAATAATTATGGTAAGGTATCTTCCAAAGTGAATTGAAATGTTTGCTAACTCACATTTCTCTTGTCTTTCGCACAGTTATTTTAATAATTTGTTGCTTTCCCATTTTTTACACGAAACACTCAAGTCTATATTTTATTTCGCCTTCTTTTATGGTCGGAATTAATTTTTATAATTAAGTAGACGGGTTAATGTTGCTGCGGTTTTAGCTCACAGCAGGCGCGCAACACTTCAGTATAGTAAGAATTAAATTTGAGAAAGCTTTTTGACTGTGTGTACAACGAAGAAAACATAAAATAGAGACGATAAATATATTAGTGTGAGAAAATTTACTCAACATTAATCTCATACAACTCTACTCAACTATGCTACAAATTTCTAGGCGTCAGAGAACAAAATTCTCGAAGCTCTGCTTCCTTTAAATCATTAGTTTTTCGGTGAAGATATAATGTTAATCTTTCGGATCATACAGTTTAAGGTTACGAAGTTGGTCAGCATTGATAAAATATTTATCGATTTCACGATTAAGAAATAATAAGAGCCATGAGAGGGGAGGGATAGGGATCTCACTTTGACATTTAAGAATGCCGGTCGTTTGCGATACCTAACACTCCTATATAATAGATCATAAGATCCATGAAGAAGTAGCTTGATGCTATCTCTAGTGGACAAACACTCCTTGACTAGCTTTGAGCGCACAGTTAGTGAGCTGAGCGCGAGTATTGCTGCTCTGTCGTTGAAGTGAGTGCACACCCACCTGAAGGAGGATTGCACTTCGTAGCAATGCTTCTACCGCCACCTTAATAGCAGTCGCTTCTGCCTGTAAAAAAGTAATCCGGTAGCCTAAACCTAAGATTGACGGAGAGCACCTTACAAAAGTTCCGCTCCAACCTTCCCTCCTAGCTTTGACTTCAAGCTTCTTAGCAAGTATAGCATTTTCAGTGGGCTGAAGCGGGACTGCCAGACGAATACACCAGAGAGTATTATTGGCTTGACGACGGTTTCATAGAGCCAAAACACCACCTTAGGTCAGAATCCTCATTTTTCCTATAGCTTTTTTACAGAAATATAAGGCAACAGGTGCCTTATTTACTCTCTCCTCAAAATTGATATAAAAGTTTTCTATCAAGGATAAGCCATAGACATTTCACCTTATCAACAGGTTGACGATGTGAACTACCGAAAGAGGAAAGAGGCTCGACTAAGCCGCTTCTAGTCATTCAGTTGGATACTAAGTTGAGGTACCTTGTTAATACTAATAACAAGAGCACCACAACCGAGAAATATTGTTAGTGTGGACTTCCTATAAGCAGCTTCGTTGCAACGGTGAAAATAATTTATCAAAAATTAAAAATCATTAGCACTTGTCGGTGTACATAAACTCAATCAGAACGAACATGTGTTTAACCAAAATTGCAAAAATGTGTTAAATACAGCTTGAAAACTAAAAAAATTGCAAACAACAAACAATGAGAAAAACCAGATCAAAAAGAGTGCACTGCAACTATAAATAGACACCGAGAACAGCTGCTATATACGAGCTAAAAATTTGAAGAAGCAAAAATAATACAAAAATGATAAGTGGTACAGCAAAATTGAAGCAACAAAAAACAGCAACTAACGATAAAAAAACAAAAGACGATTAAAGCAACAAGAAAGTGAAAGATAACGTTAAAAAGTAAAAAGAATTTCAAATAAACAACAACAAATGCAAACATTACGTAGAACTGATAAGAAAAACAACCACTTATATAATATATATATATATTCGTATGTGCATATGTATATAAGTATCGATACATATGTATTCAGCGAAATTTTTACATTTTGTATAACAAGCACATTGCTGCACTCCATCATCCACCAATAGCTGAATCTGAGTATAAAAGCATCCCAGTTTGCGTACCGAGCGCACTCCAAAATAAATATTTCGCTAGGAACAATAAGTGGTATTCCTACCGATTGAAACTCCTTTTTGTAGTTTTTTTAAAGACACAAAAAAAAAAAATTCAACGTGAATCGTTAGCGAAATGAAATTCCGCGTATTTCTCTTTGTATGCGCTGCACTCGTCGCCGTCACTACCAGCATTGCTATTGAGGATGGCATCGTATGTCCCAAGGAACAAACGGATGTGGTGCAAATTCCGTCGCCCAGCAACTGTGGTATTTTCTACAAGTGTGAACGTGGGCGGCCAATAGTGAATAAATGTTCACAGGGCCTGCATTATAACACGCGTATCATGGTGAGTAGGGGCGGTAGTAACTAGTAGGGTGTAAGGGGTGGGAGAAAGAATGCAAATAAAGGCATAACATTTTTTTTATTGATTGCGATAAATTTGCAAGCACTTACAAGTGGATAGAGGCAGAAATTGTAAAATGAGTTATTCGGAGAGACAAGACTGATGGATTAAGATGAGTAGTTTGGTTAAACGAATGAGTTTTTATTGGTGTTGGAAGCGTTAAAAATACAGCAACAACAGCTATATTTATACACTTTTGAGATAACTTTTCGATATATTTATTTTTTGCAAATTTTTTTAGCTTAGAATTTTTTCAAAAACATCGAAAAACGATAGTAAATTCTTTACACATATTTATGTAAATTGATTATTTTGTCCTTCGTATTTACTTTCAGGTTTGTGACTATCCATCGAGTGCCCAATGTGTAGCTGTTAAATCTGAACAATAAATTTTATTAAAATCAAAATTTCTGTTAATAAAACTTGATTTTTCTTTGAGAACCACAATTAAAACAAAAGTAAAAAAAACTAATATATAAAATCTTCACTCGCTTTATGGACAGTGGACGGATCGTTCATACTCTATAGTACTATATGTAGGAATCTTCTAAGATCGTCGATTTATTTTAGTAAATATCGTCTAGAAGCCTAATACCCACATATCCAGATGAGGCCTGTAGAGCAAAAAACTAAATGGATTGAAAATAGAAAGTTTATATCCTTAAAGTAGGATGGTAACAAGAGAGGTACAGAAACAAGCATAGTCAGTGAGCGGGAGAAAGCGCAAAATAAAGAGAAAGCGAGGTAGAGAGAGAAATATAATGAGAAATAGACAGAGATATAAAGAGAAAATCAATCATATAAGAGGTTCAATTTATGCCCAATTTTGTAAAAACTTTATAAATTTTGTGATTTCACAGCATATCAGCCCTCTCTCTAAGTTATTTAAAAAAAAACGCCAATACTGATACAAAACAGTTGGCTAGAATGATTTTGCATATAATAAAACGTTGATTCTTAAGATTTAAACGTAATATTCTAATTAAGTAGTGCAACATACCCCTCTGCGCTGACTTTTAGCTACTTTTCTATTAGATTAATAGACTTTTCCAGGCTATCCACCCGCCACTCCGTGTCCGTGCTGTTTTAAATCAATTTAGCCACGCTCGTACTTGTATATACCAGTAGTTGTAAAGGCTCTCATATAAATCACAGCATTTTGAACTTTGATGAACTTTGGATGTACAAAGCGAAGAACGCAGAGAGTGGCGAAGTTGCAAAGATTTTCTACAAAAGACCTCACGCTATTTGATTTCGTTTGACCTTTCTTCACCATCCAGCACTTCGCTGCTTTTAATTTTTTAAAGAACTTTAACTTCTCAGGCACGCATTTAACTCCACTCCCCGCCGCTATACCACATTTCATTTTAAACGTGTAATTATTTTGTACTTTCTTCTTCTTGTTCTCAGACTTTCATTTAATTCAGGCTCGGCTTACGGTTTTCTTCGTGGTCTTCGCATACTGCATAATTAAAACATTTTACCTTTGTCGAACTATTTGAAAGAAACCATTTGAACCATTTTGAGCGTAACTATTTGGAAAAGTTTCACGCTGCGAAATTCATTGTAGAGTTGTTGAACATTGAGCTTAAAGCACAAACTTTTAACACTCGATAAAAGCTTTTAGTTAAACAGCAGAAAGGCTGAAATGGCGTGCAAATATGCAATCATATATACAGTATTATATATATGTATATATATTTTACATTTATAGGTGATTGGTACAACACGTGGGCTGGTAACACACACATTTATATATATATATAAATTAATTAATCATTAAACTAAGCACATTCGAGCAAAGCCTTTTAAATCAATTAAACATTTACTTGAAAACTACATCTCGGTAACTTATCAATTAAAACGTGAACTTTATATCCATATATATATCAGGGCACAATAGACCATAGGTCGCGGTGCATATCTCAAAATTAATCTATCCATATATATATAGTATTTCAAGTAGATGTTTAATTGATTTAAAAGGCTTTGCTCGAATGTACTTAGTTTAATGATTAATGAGGCCTTACTGTTGAGTTTGTAGTACACAAGCTAGCTCTATTTAATTAAGGTTCGTTGCGCTTGACTTGGGAATATCTGCTTAATATTATGAAAATTAAATCGTAGAAAATTTTTTCCGCATATGCATATTTTCCGATAGGCCAAGAGACTTTAAAGCAAGACTAGACAAGACGAATGGAGTAAAATCTGTATGGTTTTGATCTACGTTATACGTTTTTGATATTGTATTTAGCATAACTTGTGACCTCTTTTATGCATCTGAGCATATTAAACTGACCTTTTACTGACTTTGCTATTTCCCTGATTTTCCGTCGCCAATGATTTTAAGTTCCTTTGTCTTAGGCTATCCTTTGGGTGAACTATTATATTATATATAAAGTTGTGTTTAAAGTTTCGACCTAAAAAAGATTTAGCAAACCAGGAATCGAAACTTAGATTCATATTTTTCCAGGGTCACATAGTCCAGTCATTATGTAATATGGAATATATTAAATTTTCATGCAGTAGAGCTGCTAGGAGAATACAACTTGCAAAATACTTGTATACTACAGGCATATCTTCGCACCCATCTGGCGGAGTGTGTCATTTGGAAAGTGAATCTGTGTTCATCTTCAAATATGCCTCAAAGCTGTTTGGTTTAAAGTGAAATACGAAAACTAGAACTAGACTTTCAGTTCGGCAGTGGCTCTCAAGCAAAAATTTAATACAAAAAGAAGCAAATGCAAACAAGTCTTATGAACCAAATTTCCATCTGCGACTCGCTGCTGAATTCAACTTAATCGATTTTTTTCTGAAGCCGATGTGATGATAACTGGAACATTTACGACAACGTCAAGCGAAAATGGTGTGGTCGCATCGCAGTAAGTTAACATAAACGGAAACCAGACCAAGATTGACGGCCAGGAAGGTTTTTTATGTACTTAGTGGAGCAGTGGCATTTTTAATTATTATTTTGTCAAAAGAAATGTTTACTGAAAAAAAATACCACTCTGAGTACACACTAAGTGTGACCGTATTTTTAAAAGATAAATTTAAAAGGTTTCTAGTTTTAAAATAATCAGTAAAAACTACAAATATTACTTGTAGAACACTATCAACCTATTAGAGTTAGATAGCTGAGTTATCAACCACTTGATAAATGCGTATTTATCGATGTTCCAACGTTGTATGTATGTATGATAAATATAGAGAGGCATAATGCGATATGTGACATGCGACTAACGGTTGAGAAAATTTAAGAGAATTTTAGTCTAAATAATAATTTAAGCAGAGGGTTCATGACTGATATCAGTAGTAACATATGTGTTTGACACTTCATTTATATATGAAAACGTTGCATCGTAGAGAAATCAGTGAGGGTTCCTGGATGATCCCATTTTATATTCGATGTTATTAATAAGAGAATAAATTTCATATGCGACTGCAGCTGAGGGCAATAGTTAAATTTCACAAAAAAGCGATACAAATATTTGTTATTTAAATGATCAAAAATCCGCATTCAAATGAATATATAAACTATCATTTTCTATATAAGTAATGGTACCCTGAGTATAATAGAAGAGTATTTCAAATATTTTATATCATATGTCTATATAATGTAAATATATATTCTCATTTGTTCTCTTCCTTCTCATAATAAGATCAATTGCATGTTAACAATACATTATTGCTTTTGTTGGCACCAATCAGTATGCCCTCCCCCCAGTGATTTCCATGTATTATTATTATGTGCTGTTTACTTAAATGCTATTCGAAATGCCAGCAATAAATTTGTTGCTAACGCCTTTGTATTTGTTGATGTATATAAATTGGTGTTACTACTATATTAATTGTTTGTACATAACTGCAGACTAGCGATAAGTCCACTAAAGTGACACGTGGATAAATAAAATGTTCTCACATTCGGCTGTCATTCTGAACAAGGAGTGAAACAGGAGTACGTAACTGTAAACTAATTGATAGTTATGTGTCACTTTTATAGATGGATATGTCTCGATACGTGAGAGTATTTTGTTGAACGTTAAATATATTGTTTATGCTGGGGTTAGTTTGAATAGTTGCTGACGTATTTGTGATTTTATAAAAGCGTTGGACGTGGCGTATGAGTTATTTAAGTAGCGTATTAGTGATTTAGGTGAAATGCATAATTAATTTGCAAACAATTTTAAGCAAATTTATAAAGGCGTAAATTTTAAGACAATAAAACAAAAACTAACACGCATTAGTAAGGTATTTGTGTGTGTTGGAGTAGCTGTGCGCTGCGTAGCGGGTGGCAGAACGTTATTTTAATGCGTATGCAATGGGTAAGCGGTGGCGTATGAGTGATGTCAATGAAAGTTAAAAGTAGTTAGCCATATACCTATTATGTACGTATATGTAGATATATAGGTACATATATAAATATATATCGCTGTGTTGACTTTTAAATGAAAGGTTGTTGATTTAAGATAATTAAATTTTATTAAGGAGCTTGTGTGTTTGAGAATGCTTAATGCGCGAATGCATTTCATGCCTTTATTCAAAAAAAATTAAAAATAGTATACATTTCATTAGAGGAGTGTAATTTAAAGAAGACCCCAAAAATATTTAAAATAAAATGAAAAGCATACGAAATACGGAGTATTTTCAATATGCCATACCTTAGACAGCTTTATTATAAATATACTATTTTTTCGAGTTGAAACATAACTTCAATTACAAGTTTATTAGTTTTTGAAGCTGCCACCTGAATTTGATTTTTTTAACTTACGACACTTTAACTGGATTTATTATAAAAATATTATGTTTTGGAGTTGCCACTTGACTTTATTTATTTAATTTTTTTTATTAAGAAAATAATGGTATAATTTAAGTAAATATAAAATAATAGCTATTATATAATTTTTTAGAGTTGCCACCTTACATACACTTAAATAATAAAACAATAATATGATATAAACTAGAATAAATGCAAGCAACGAGTTTTTCACAGCAAAAACATTTTTCGATAATTGTTTCAGTTTTTTACCTACGACCTAAACTCATTTTCAGTGATTTCCAGCTACTAGCACTTTTAATCCCAAATCAATTACTTTATGTAAGAAAATGTACACAAAAATATTATACGTTAAAACTTGAATTCAATTCAACAATTTTGGGTTAGGTAAAAAAAAAATAAATTTTATATTTTTATAAAAAAAAACATTCTTGAAGCAAAAAAATAAAATTTTCACCAGAAAAATGGGATATGTTATCTCTACCTTTACTGTTAACTGCAGACTGCATTATTGTCTCTTTTACTTACAAAATTTATTGTGTTTTCCAAATTTAAAGCTATTTCAATATAAAGCTATTGAAATCGCATTAACTTGAACGTGCGAGTGAATCTTAAGGCAACGCTTTACTATTACTCTTGCTTTTAGTTTTAGTTGCATTTTACTTTTACTTTTTATTCTATCATTTTTCCTTCTTACAAGCGCATGAGTAATGATCTAACCATTTTCTCACAAGCAAAGTGCAAAAAGGTTTTTATTATAGCTTCAAAACATGTAACAACACAGAGCCTGAGCCTGAGCCTGAGCCTGAGCCAATCTGTATACACAACACAGCACAAAGGACAACAATGTCAAAACAGCAAATAAACGAATAAAAATAGTTTGCAAGAGAACGTGAAAAAAGTGAAGAGTAATGTTGTAAATTGAAGGTGGTAGATAAGAAAGAGGAAAAAGAAAAGCCCAACAAACTTCGTCAAAATCTACTTTGCCGCTTATCTGCTTTTAATAGAATTGTGCCCTCAGTGTCAATCGTGGCGACTGGCAATCATTTTTCAAATGCGAAAAATGGCTGAAAGTGTATAGAAAGTAGAGCAAACAAAACAAAAAGGGTCGACACATTGAAATATGTATGTGCGTCGGTCTGCTTTAGGATTTGCCTTACGCAATGTAATTTCACACAAAACAAAGCCAATTATTTTTCGAACACCATCGGTGTGTATCATTTTTTACTACAACATCTTTTTTTTTTTGGTTGATTTATTTGCGGTGACAGAACGGTTGATGGAATTTCTTTTTGTGCTGTGATGGACACATGTGAGTCACAGCGCCATTCAGGTACTGGAGGGAAAGTGTGTGAGCGTTTGAATGACAATTATGACACTGCTCTTTGAGGTGATGTGCTTAGAAGAGAAAATGGTACAAGAGGAAGGTGTAAAGACATAAGTTGAAGGGACAAAAAACGACCACAAAAGCAGAATATGCAATGAATAAGTGAAAATGGATAAAAGTAAGCAATGTTAGTGAATGAATGTATAAGAGATGTAATGTTTGCTTAATCACAGACACAGCACATTTTGAGAAAATTTGTTGTTAGGGCAAAAAATATGTGCAGTATAGTTGAGAACGATTAATTTACCGTAATATTTATCTAATGCATATACCTATGTAACCGAAGTAGTGCTTTCGAAAGTTTAGTGAATTTATAGCTTCTTCTTTGGTGGCCAGAAGAAAATTGTGTCCGCTGGGAACCATCATAAAAAATCAGTAGGATGTTTTCTTGAAGCCAGAGTGAGAAGAAGAGAAATGATTTTTATTTAAATGGATTTGAAAATACACTGTTCACACTTTGTTATGAATAATGATATTAAATTGTTATATAAAGCTGTGCGGTTATGGATTTTTGCTTATCTAAGAACAAGCTAAAGTTAAGTCGCTTTTTGAGTTAGCTGCCGTTATCGCTAAGCGGCACAGTCATAACTGGGTATCAAAAACCTGATTTCAGTACATTGCTAGAAAATGACAGTTCGGTATAAATACTCGTATATTATTTATAATAACAACAGTCAGCGTTCTCCTGTACTTGAAAGTAACAAATCAAAAACACAACCAATGCAACTCAAAGTATTTATTTATTAATATGCCTCAAGGCATTTGCTTAAAACGATTGCTATTGCCTACAGCTAATTTTGTGACTTATGTGAAATTTTATACAAGCGCTGGCAGTAGCATATATACATTTATTTATATACAAATGTAAGCATATAACTCTACTTAAATGCGGCTATGTCTCATTCAATTCCCATATGTGTTTTCTGTGTGCGCTACAATGAGCTTATAACGATTTCAGCTAACAAATGTGCGCCTTCATCAAACATTCGGCAAATATTGACGTGCTTGCGACGGGGGCGTATACGTAACCCGCTTTGAAGCAAAGCACAGTCAACCAAAAGCATACATGTAGTATATGTATATGCAGCTGTCGGCATAAATTTAAGTATTTCCTACATCTTTAAATTTGCACACACACACACAAACTTAATTACCTTTTTCGCTTTTATAATTCCTTAAGTAAACAGCAACAACAAAGTTTGCCTTACTGAGACTTGCTTTCATTTCTAAATTCATAACATGACTTATGCTCGGTTAATACCTTTATACCGCTAAATAAGCATTGAGTTTTATGCTATTGCCCTTACTACTGGCAACACAGTTGCGGTGATATTTTCTTGCTGCGCTTTCATTCAACTTTTATCGATTTTTTGCCTTCACCAGCATCACACCGCACGCTTGTTGCAATTAATGTTGAGCAGCTTAAGCATAAATATTGTGCTTTAATGAGCGAGCGAAAGAGAAATACAAAAAAAAAAAATCAAAATTATAATGAGCAGGAAATTTATGTTGAAGGTTGCCATGCTTCCATGCGCCTAATTCGCTGCGGGTTTTCCAAGTGAGTGGTTGGCAGGTGATGTGAAAACTTTTGGTAGATTTTTTTTTTTAGTTTTTAGTATTTTGTATTTTTTTATTTCCTCAGGGTAACGCTGGATGGCATAGTGGGAATTTAAAGTGACTTAATAGTGTTTAGTTTGAGTGGCGGTAGATAGAAATGCAAACGAAGTAGTGGCAAAGCAAAAATTTATGAAAATAAGATTAGTGTAACGAAAGAATATGCAAACATTTCTTGTTAAACATCGGTGATAAGAAAATGACGGACTTAATTGCGCTATGAGTGCTAAATTTTAGGCAAATAATGCATTATTACATAGTTTTATTCATTTTGAGCATACGTTACTCTTTTATTTTCAAGAAAAACCTTTTTTTTATGCTAATAAGCCTCTAAAAATTAAAATTAAATATTTTCATCTCAAATTTCTTTTTTTTTCAATTTCAAACTCACCTGCATAAAAATCACTGTTATCCTTAGGCGTTGTCCTTCCTTCTGTTGTCAAACAGCATACACAGCATATACATAACAGCACAATATGTCAAACATGTCAATGCACAGATGTCTGCTCATGATAGCGGTAGCATGAGATGAATAAAAATGTTACACTTTTACATGAAAACACACAAACAGCTGCAATGAAGTTTAACTTTTACAAAGCACAACGCTTGACTGTGACCCGGTCTTATGTAACTGTATATGTATTAGACAGTGTCACTCGCTTATTTTTTCACTCACTTTTTCATGTTTTGCTATACATTGCTCTTTTGTTTAGGTTAGCTTTATTTTTTTAAGCAATATTTCTGAACTTTCTATAAGTTTTTTGTTGTTATTGCACATTTTTTCATTTTTGATTTAACAAATTGCGTCTAGAGGACTGCCAGTTTTTCTGTTGAATAAAAAAAATGAAAATAAAAAAATTAATTACTAAAGAGTTTGCATATTTTTTAAGGTATTTAAGGAGTTTAATTTAATATTCATATGAATATGTAGAGAGTGTCGTATGTGATGTGAACTATACTAATAAAAATCATATCGATAGAATAGTCGATAAAAATCAAACTGTTCTGTATATTATTTTGTCGTAGTAACTTTTTATCGAAGTAGTTTATCGACTATTTATTAATAAATTTCAATTAAAATTTATCGATAAAAAAAATACCATCAAAAGCACGCAAAAGTAGTACTAAATAAAATTTTTTCATGATTTTTCAAGAAGTTGCTTTGTTAACACCACTTTAAAGGCACTACTCAGCAAGCCTTTCCAACTTGGCTACTGAAATTATATAAATTTGAATCCCTTTTCAAAATTGAAAAATTTTATTTCAATGTAAAAATAAATTTTCTTTCATGTATATATGTACAGTGTATACTCCATACAATTTGAAATATTTTAAATTTATATTTAATTAAGAGCAGAGTTCATTTAACAATTTGTCCTATTTATTGATTATACTTAACCCTCATTTTGATATTTTTTTATAATGGAGTCAATAATGTCATCATATTAAAATTTATATATTATAAGAAAAAATAAGAAATCGTTATTATTTAAATTTCTCTTTTAATAACAAATAATATTAGACTATTATATTTCGATAATTTTTTGATTTATTAATTAATAATATTGGACTACTATATTTCGATTATTTTTTATTTTAACAGTAAAGAACATGGGACTATTATATTTCTATTATTTTTATCGAAAATTTGATTTGATATCACTATTTGTGTTTTTATTTCTAAAAAAAAATATTGAAATATTATATTTTGAAAATTATTTATCGATATTTTTCATCCAATTTCATTATTTGTATTTGAATTTTTAATAATCAAGAATAAAGAGATATTTCGGTTATTTCTTATCATTGTTTTTAATTCGATTAAAATATTTTTATTTTAATTTTTAAAACTCAAAGTTATCGAATTGTTATATTTCGATAATTTTTTATCGATTTTTTAATTTTTAAATATTATAAAATTTTTTATTTGGGTTAAAATATTTTTTCAATTAAAATCTGTTTTCGATTATTCCAGTATAACTTTTCGATAACTCGAGGCACATAAAATATGTTTTATCATATTCTGTCAGTTTACTTTTTTATGTTTTGTATACCCTTGCTTTTGTACCTTAATTTTATAAGTTACTTTGTAATATTTGTAATTTTTGTATTGACAAACTTTAAAAAAACATTTTAAATTTTTGGAAATATCTTCACTTTTCGATAAAAAGCAATTATTAGGTAAAATTTTCAAATATTTTAATGGCTGTTTTCCATTCAGTTGAAAATAGTTGGACACTATAATTTTTATTTTTCAAATATTTGAATTTTTTGACACAGTTGAAATATTTGAAAAACTACAACTTGTCAAGTTTTTGTTAATAGAAACGACAATTTAGCCCTTATAATTTATATCCTCTATATGTGCCCTTAGTAAAAGTTAGCAAAGCATTCTTAAGTGCTGCCTCAAGAGCAAGTTACATATTATATTTTAAAAAATGTTACTTTTTCTTCTACAAATAAGGAAAGTGAAAAAAAAACTTTTAAATTTATTAAAATATTTTAAATAAAATTTAAAATTTTTTTATTTAGTTTTAGTACACGATTGGAAAATTTTTAGTAAACAAATACAATTTGAAAATAATAAATACTAATATATAAATATAGTGTTCAATAAAATACTCTTAAAAAACTTATTAGAAAATGCAAAAAAAATTTTCGAAAATAAAAACTTTTTTAAAAATGATTTTTAATGAAAACAAAAACATTTAATTTAAATATTGATAGAAACTTTGGAAAAGTAAATTTTTGCTGCAAAACAGGCTGCTTTTATTGTTTCTACAAAAACAGCTTCCTACAATTTATTCTACTGCTTCTATAAGCTAAATATAAACAAAACTGCAAATTTGCTGCAATATTAAAATCTAAATATGTTTCACAAAAAATAATTTTGTGCTTACAGTAATTTATGTATATGTTTTTTTTTATCTCTCACTTTGTGTTTTTTGCCATCTCCATAATACCTCTTACTATTTCTATACCATTTCCTGCCTCAATTTTATTACTCCCTCATATTTAAGCATTTTTATGCATGACTATCTCACTGCGCAGCTGATTACTTACATGAATCATACAAATATGACTTTGATATATTACCTTACACTTTTTCTGCCTGACGAAACATAGATTTAGGCGTGCAATCAGCGAGAATACTCATTTTACATGCAGACAACGTGCCAACGAGTCATTGATTGTGGTTGCGTGCAAATAACCGTGGCGTGCCTTAAGACGTGTTTATAAATTATTTATTGATGATTTGTGCATACACACACACACACACACACATGCACATGCTTATTTACATCGTGTCAAACAGCGCAAATTGGCAGCGCGCCACAGGCAGCAATTTCGAACGCAGCAAAAAGTCTAAGTGCCAAAAATCATCAGCGACAGCGAGAACACTGTCACCTTCTTCAACTATAATATATGTGCCACAAAGACCTCTCAACCGCGCTCGAACTGATTTTAGCTGTCATATTCTTAAGTGATTTCTCTTTTGCTGATTTCACTGACTGCCTTCGTGTCACTGAAATGAAGTCTTAATCAAATTTGTCTACCGGTTACATTAGCTCCTCTGATTGGCTTTTGAATCCGCAGCCTCTTTGTTAACTCTTATTTGCATATGACTGAGGTGAATATTATATCATGTGACTGGCACACGCAGACATTGAGGGCAATAAGTTTCTTAACTATTAAAATTTTTCGTTTTTTGGAATAACAAAAAAAGAGAAATTATTTTTTCAGAATTTTAAAGAAATGGTGTTAAAAGTATAGCACAGTGCCATTCAAAACGAAGTAGGCAAAAGAATACACAGCTTCTTGTGAAAAAATTTTATTTCGAATACTTCAAATGATTCTTTCTCTTTTCGGAAAGTTTTTCTTCAACTTAACCGACGCACCGTGCTTTTTCGAGCTTTCGAGTTGAGTGACAGATCTTATGCTGAGACTAAAATACTTACTAGTGTTTGAGTATCTGGAAAAAAATGTATTTTTCGTCTAAAATTATGCTCTGTCCTAACTTGAAATCCACTACTTGTAAACAAATACCTCACCCAGGGCTTAGGGACTCATATACTGAAGCAATATTGAAGAATTATGTAGAAGTGAGGAACTCTGAACTAGCAGTTACTGATAAATACTCATACATATGGAGAAATAATTTAAGAGAATATAGAATAAAGACATGGTTGAACCAAAGCTGAAACGAAAAAGTCTCATTTAGTAACACGCTTGCAAACATTTTAACTACCAATTTGTGCACTTACGTTTCTTTCGTAAGTACTCTGTATTATAATTTTTTCAGTACCATTTTATTTTAGCTTATAAGTATATTAATTCTCGTGTGATAAAACTGAGTTTAAAAGCTACTGAATCCCCTATGGCACATGTAAAGTTTTCCTTTCGCCTTAGATTCGATTCAAGAAAGAGTTGACTGAGGGCTCACAAAGATATACAATTCAGATGACTAACCTGAGCTAGTATGTAAGAACTTAAATTCAAGTGGTTGTGATACAGTGAAGTCCGGAACAACAAGGCATGCAAAAATTGTGAATACCAAAAGCTTAAATGAATTCAAGATTTTTTTCTATACAGCTTAAAATTTCTGTGGATTTATTTACTTGAATAAACCAGAATTTGCGATAATTAAATTTACTAATACGAATTAAAATTCCTAAAACTATTCAAAAATGCTAACTTAAGTTTTCAAACACTAAACTTAAATCCCCCAACTATTTCAATCTAATCTGTCCAAACTCTTTCAGCCCGCTGTGAGTCATAGGACAACACAACAACTTAATAGCTTTCTTCAAACTCTTAAATTTAACTGGCGCTCTAAAATTTTGCAATTCCTGTCAATATTTGCTGTTGCTGGCCTTCAAGTTTATCTATATCTTTAATATTTATGTCACACAGCACTTTCATTAAGTGCCCTACCCCAAAAAAATTCGACACACACACACACACAAGCATACTAGCAGCAAGTCACACATTTCAAATAGCTAAGCATACTTTTCAGCGCGCTCAGCTGTTGCGAAATACTGCCTTCACTGCTGCAGCTGTTACGAACTGTCCTTCAACTATTTACTTACTTTTGCCAACACACGGCGGTCACTTTATGCGCAAGTTTGCCTGTAGAAGGCCATCAATCATTAATGTGTACAAATTTTGTTGCTATTACAACTAGTAAGCGATGACTAGTTGCCTAGTTTTTGGCGTTGCATCGATTTCTTAGCCGCAAATATTATATATATGTATATGATTTGCTGGTTTTTTTTTTTGGAGATTTTTCATTTGAATTTTTTCAGAAGTTATGGTTTTATAGCACATACGCCTGAATGTAGGCTACATTAAATTTATTGTATGCTTTCTTAAGCGGAGCACAACTTTCGCATATTTTAGCTTTTAAATTTTTTATTAAATATATATAACTTTTTATTTAAGTTTTCACACAGCACGCTAAATTGTCTAATTTTTAGCGTGACCGTTTCTTAGTTAGCTGCCAAAGCAATCGTTTTTATTTTTATTTTCTTCTTCGTATGCGCTTTCACGTTCGCATGCCTAACACTTTGTGTGCGTATTGCACTGCCGCACTTCCGCGCTTGTTTTGCTTCGTCAGTTGCGACACCAACGCGCACGCTTTCACTTGCCACACAAACCGTACGCGTCAATTTTATATAAACGACTGAATCGCTCGTCACACGCAACCCGTTGGTTTTATGCGGCATATGAATTTTCTGCTATACGGCAGTGCTTCGTGTCGCCTTGTTATGGCGGTGGCTGTGGAAATATCCCTACATTTCATTCGCCGCGCATGCGCCTCAACGGCCACAATACTATTCCGTTCACTTTCGCTTGCGTTGAATTGTAGACTGGAGTGTTGTTTTGGAGACTTTTCGATGCTCGTATTAGCCTTGCAGCTATATTCAATTTATTGTTGTCCACTTTTCGCCGGCACTCCATGCTGTAAGGTTCTTTACTTTATGTGTTTTTATAAATAGTGGTTTCAGTCTTGTTGCTGACGTTGTGTTGCATGCAACTTAGCGGCAAATTGGCAAATTGCAGCTTGTATGTTTAAGTGTAACTTCAATGGCCTGCAGTTTGCATTCTTGTTTTTCTTTAGTGTGGTGACAATGTATGGATTGTCGTTAACTATATTCCATTCTGCTGTTTCTTTGCTTTTAGTTTTTTGCACACAAGTACCATTACTTTTGCAGTCGTCGTCTCAGCATCCGTAGCATTACGTAAACAATGACGTTTACATTATTCATACACAACCGAGTGTGCCACTTTGCCGTGAAAATACTGTTGTGTTCATTTTTCTGTGTTGAATGTTCGAACATTTTTGTATGCTTTTTTCATTGCATACAAATTCTGAATACTTAAGTGTCTTAGTTTTTGCTTATATCCTTACATGAGCACAGACATTCGTGCCTATACCACACTCTATTTCGATCCACATGGTTCATTAAATACTTCACTATTACTTACATAAAATACTATAACTTGTAATACAAATACAATTTTTCTAGCTTTAAGTAGCTCTACTTTACTTCCTGTACTGTTAGGCATCATCAAATGAAAATATCTACTTTAATAGTGTGAACTTGTTAGAAAACTTTGTGTGACTGAATTGTCGTTGGTTTCAGGCTCTTATTAGAACGCGAAATCAAGCTTAAGAAATGCAATGAATTTTATGTATTTTAAATATTTTTCATTTAAATTTTTTTATATTTAATGACTAACATTTGAATTCGATAGCAATTTTAGTGCGAGATACATTTTTTAGCACTAGAGCCATAACACTTTTTATGTGTAGGCTTATTCTAACCACATGCACCACTTAGGTAAAATGTATTCAACCAAAATCCAAAAAATTATAAAAGTCTTCAAAAAAATAAAGTTAACCCTTAAATAAATCGTGCGGTATCCAAAACTAGTGCTTTTTGAGAACAAAATATGTACAACCTTTCTTGTCGATCATCGCTCGAGCAATAGTACTTTTAGATGATAAAAATACTGAGTACCTCAAATAATGACTAAATGTTTTAATATGTACCATAGTTTCACTATTTAATATCAAGTTGAATGAAATGTGGATTTCGTTAATTTAATCAATTTTGTATCGCTTTAATTTAAACGACTTTTGCAGTGTCTAGGCTTAGCTAGATCTATAGTTGAACTAATCTTCTTTTTCAGTCATTATTAATTTTCGATTTCCCTTGCCAGCGGCTGTCAGTCACCTATTGTAAGTCGTAGCATAGGAAAATTGAAAAATTTGCCAAAAATCGTGGCGAACAAAGAAATGAACTAACAAAAAGCAGAATTTTTCAACAAGAGATTTGAATAGCTGAGGCCATCTGCTTTAGAAAAAAGAAAACTCCTGCTTGTTTATTTTCATTGATGCGCATGTTCCTTATATACATATGTATACCTTTCTACGCTGTTGACTTACTGTTAACTTGCAGGTGGCAAATCGGTAGAAGAATATATATATGTATTTTGCATGATATTTGCACAGATTGCAAACATTTTTGTATTTGTTCACTATGCGAGTACATTTTTCAATGGTTTTTTTTTTGTTTTGGGGACGTTTTGCTTTTTTCAAGTTTTTAATTTTTACTCTGGCTACGATTCTATTTGATAATTCCAATTTTTGTTTACCGTTAGGCCAACGGGTGCATTTCAATCAAACTGAAATTGCTATCGAGCAATTGCAGCAAAAAGAAATGAAACTCAGCTTTTGGACGCGTATACATATATACAAACATAAAAGTAAACAAGCACACATAGATATCTACATATATGCATATGCGTTGTATATGAGTAGTTGCATTCAAACTCATACATTCGTCATGCATTGGCCAGTAGGCAAACAATTGATGAATTTCCAGTATTTTGATTGCATTTTGGTTTGAAAACCAATTCGAGTTATACGTGTTGTTTTTGTGTTTAACTAAGCAAAAAATTCTAATCGAGCTTATTCGAACTTCTTGATTACTTCGATAGGGCCTTGCGATATTTACCTTCCGCCTTCATATGAGTTGGTTTAAAGGGCAAAATGCCTAGTATCTACTGTAGAGTAGTTTAGCGCATGTAGTTATAGATAAAGATTAAGATAAGGACAAAGATAACTATAAAGATAAGGATAAGAATAAGGACAAAGCTAATGATAGAGATAAAGCTAAAGATAAAGAAATATATATACATAGATAAAATTAAACGTAAAGATAAAGATAACAATAAAGATAAAAGTAGATGTAAAGATAAAAAAAATATAAAGATAAAGATAATAATGTAGCTAAAGATAAAGATGCAGAAAATAATAAAACCACAGATAAAAATGTATATAAGGATAAAAATAAAAATAAAGATAAAGATAAATTTAAAGGCAAACAGAAAGATACATTTAAAGAAAAACATGAAGATACAAATAGATTGAGATGAGGTAAAAAAATAGTAAAAAAATACCTACATCCACATTGTAAAAAGAATCAAAAAGCACAAAATTGCGCAACAGCAAAAAGTGTGTATATAATAACGCAAATGCATAAATCTTATTTTAATAAACACTTTTGGTCACAAGACAGTCTGAATGGTGCCAGCTGGCCAATAAATAGGACTCACAAACCTTTATTTTAGCAACAGAAGTGAAATTCTGACTATAACTAATAAAATTCACAACGCAGTTTCATCACTAAAAAAATTACATTTTCTGGGTAAACAATTTGAATGCCGATATAAATAGAGGAACCATTCAAAAAGCTTCACAAACACAAATACCTACGAAATGTGGTAAATTTAATGGGACTTTGAAAAGTTTGAGCATCGAAGAAAGTGCACACCAAGTATTTGGTTGATAAAAGAAGGCCGAAAAGGCAAACGTCTGGCATCAGCTGTTGATAAGTAGTATTTGCTTGGGCCGCAAGAGAGGCAATCTACGCTCATGAGCTATTAGAGCACAAACAAATTCAAAAAGGAAGCAAAAAGAGCAAAAAACAAACAACTACGAAAAAATGCGCCACAGAGAAAGGTAAATACAAAAGAGATCAGTAAGTGAAACCGTTAAGTTCAAAAGCAAATAGGCAAATGATGGCGGCAACCACAAATCCGACTTACAAGAATATAATAGAATGCAAATCTGTAACACGTGACGTTTGTTGCATAGTTACAACAGAAAAAATAGACGACGCACAAAATATCGGAAAAGAAATTAAGTGAAAAAAGGCACAAACACAAAGCGTCTGGGGTAGCAAACAACACAAACTTTACTTTTTGCTTTCACTTTGCTTTTGTAAGCGCTGCCAAACCGCCTTTAAGTATGTTCAGCAACATAATTTTTTTTGCCACAAATTATTAATGGCGATTCTCCTTTCACTCTTTTTTTACTTTTTACGCTTTGCTTTGTGCCCAGCGAGTGTTTGAAGTGTTGGTTATTGTATTATCACAAAAATCATTATAAGAAAATTATTGCTAAACAAAAGCCATAACAAACTGATGTTACACGCCCTTTTTTCTCCATGCCATAAATTTCTGCGCAACGGACAAGTGGTAAAGTTTGCATTTTATTATAGATTATTTGCTTTGTATTGCGAAAAGCTTGCTTAAAAAACTGTTAAACTTTTCCAATTAGCGCCACAAAGTAGACAACTAAGAACGACGATGTGAAAGTAAGCATGGTTATGAAAACGGAATGAGCAAAATAAATGGCATAAAACTCCGCTTAGACTTTCAGTGTAGAATATGAAATCAATTTCTATGATAAAAATGATTCCGAGAAATCGAAATCGAAATACTTCGCAATAACGGGCTGAGAAAGCTGCCTTTGGAAGGTCGAATTATATTTGGGTTTTCAGTTTTTGAGTCTTTATTATTGAAGACGCTCACCTTTGAAAGCCACTTGTATGCGCGATATACATTTGTTTAAAAATTAAAAAAAAAAATTGCCTGCATATAGACTTGTATAAAAAATAGTCACAAATTTGTTGCCTACAACTAGGCGCTCATGCGTGTTCTACACATGAACATATTTTATTCTCACAAAATAAACTAATACTGTATTAAATTTTAAGTAGCTTACATAATAACAAAAATGTTGCCTACATTTAGGCGCGCAAAAAAAATTATACCGTTGCTGTTCTGTTTTGTTTTTTTCTTACTTGTTTTTTCACTTCTTCTTCGCCTTATTTTTTCCCATTTTTACATAAGTTTTGTATGCTAGAGTTTGCAAAAAACCTTACTGTTATTATTATTATTTCTTTTCTTATTTCTACTCCCGTCAAACAAGCAACACTTGAGAGAGTTGCAAACTTTCATGGCAAAATAATGCTTTTTTGTTATTTAATAAATTAAAACTTTATGCAAATAACACATCGAAGCTAAGGCAGAGCTACAGCAAAGGAAAGGTAACAAAAAAATGACAACAACAACAAGCCAGCAAGAAGATCAAGTCGAAGAGGAAGTTCGCAAAAATAATAAAATGTGGCAAAACTCAAAGCGAATAGGTGGCCTGTAGGTATGTGTGTGGTAGTGGCAGTAAAAGTAACAAGGTGGTCAAAGTGTTTAAGATATCAAAACAATTTAAAATACATTAACAACAACAAAAGCCTGTCACATAGCTATACTTTTAATATTAAATATTGTTTCCTGAACTTTTACAATTTAATTTTTTTCTTTTATGCAGTTGTTTTGGTTTTTTAAACGTT